TTCATTTATTTTAAGCTTTTCCATATTTTAGGTAAAACCGTCACATTAAAAATAATAATTTTATAGTTTGAGAGCCGCATTCTAGTGACGTCTAGCGCAAAGGTAGTAAACTCCTCAAGGGTATAACTTTCTACCGTTTTTAACCACTTAAACTTAAGAAACAATTTTTCTACCCTAAAGATATTAATTTCTACCTTCGGATAGAATAATAAACCTTTATTATACCTTTTTTTTTTTAGTGTGGATAAGCCTGCGCACTAACCTAACATCGCATTCAAAAACATTCAAAAAATTATTTTCAAATATTCAATTCTTTAGTATATTCCTTAGAGTAAAATTTCAAACTTTTATTAAAGAAAACATTTGCGTTGAATGAAAAATAAGAGAAAATATGTTAAAAAAAGAATCATTACCCAACACTTCTGCAGTTCTATAATATTCTAGTTATCAGAGATTTAATAACCTTTTGATAATCATTTTAATAAAATATCGCTTACAAAATTCTCCCTATTTGAAATTGGATGTTCTATAAAAGTACTAATTTCTCTTGGACATATTGACTAGTAGCGGAACAATCTGTCAATTTTGAGTTATTATTAATGTCCTTATTTGCCGTTCCTTTCTTTATTTCTTGGAAAATTTAAACTCAAAAAGTTCTAACTCCCTGGATAAATTGATTCTAAAGTCTTAATTTCACGGGTCTTATTCTACCGTGACACCATCAGTACGTTGAATAACTAAATCTATTCTAGTTAAACATATATATAAGAAACATACTTTTATAGAATAGTATTATGTATACATATTGTTTTGTTTAACGTTAGTAATATAAACCTAAATACTTAAATTAGCTAGTGCAAAAACTTTTTACCTTTTTTTTTTATATTTATATATATTTATATATATAAATATATATAAATATATATATATATATATATATATATATATATATATATATATATATATATATATATATATATATATATTTAAATAATTTATAATTGCTCTGTTCTTTTAAGAACATCGAGCACTCTATTTTGTATAATACATTTTTTTCAAATTGTTTAAATATATATACATATATACTACGTCTAAAATATATATATATATTACGTCTAAAAAATAAAAAAGGGAAATATTACAATAATAAGCGCAAAAGTGTGATATCTATTATTGTGTTGTGCACTTTTTTATCGAATTTTATACTTTTATATTTTTAAAACTGTTTTTGAAACATTATAAAATGGTTAAACAAAATGTTCAAATAAAAAGTATATAAACATAAATATCTATTTATAAATATAACCTTCACAATACTGATAGTTAATACATAACGAGAGCATAAAAACAAACATTTTTTTTTGTCAAGTAAATGAATTTAATTTTTGCGTATAATTATTACTTTATTTTTAAATTTTGAATGTTTTCATTAAATATTTCATCATATGACATAAAGCATATAGCATTAACAATTATATGAATAAAATATATGCATAATTACGTTGGAGTACGTTGGAGTTTTTAAAGATTTTTTTTATAAGAACCTGATAAAAGACTGTTACAATAGTCAGTTTGAGAGTTAATAATGCCCCGAGCTATTGTTGGCGAAAAACATAAATATTGTAGTTGCATGATTTAACAGTGTTATTTTTTCATGTTGATCAAAGGAAAGTGTTGAATTTAGGATGACACCTAAGATTTTCACCAATTTTATTGTAGTTTGTGTTATTCCAGAGAATGTAGTTTTGGAATCATTTTTAATCTTCTAGTTTATTTCCTGAATCTAAATAAGATAGCTTCTGTTTTGGTTGGGTTAAGTAAAACTCTATTTTCTAGAAACCATTTTGTGACTGCATTGGCACAATCAGTGATTTTATTAATGTTATCTTTTCCTGGGTTAATGAAAGTATATAATTGAGTATCATCGGCATATTGATGATGTTTTGTGCAATGTTTAGCTATAATACAATAAAAATGTGAAACAAACATTAAAAAAAAAATGGGCCTAACACACATTTTATTGAACTAGTTGACAATTAAGATAATATTGAGCCTATAGAAACAAGGAATTTTCAAGAGTTCTAGTATGACGTTAGTGCAGCATCTATGATATCTTATAGTTTATCTATTATACAAGCAATTAGCAGGTTGTGATAGATTGTATCAAACGCTACAAATATATCTAGAGAGATGAAAATTGTTGTTAAAGCATCTTTAACGTTTAACAGGATGTCATTGCATATCTTTAGGAGCGCTGTTTCTGTTGAGTGATTAGACCTAAAACAAGATATAAAAGGATTGAAGTTTGCGGTTGAAGTTACATGTGGAAGAGGCCAAGATAAAGCAAGCTTTTCAAGAATTTTTGATATTGTGTTGAGGTTTAATATAGAACGCAGGTCAGTGAGTTTAAATACTGTTTGTCCTGATTTTTTGGGAATTGGTGTAATTTGAGCATTCTCGAATGTGATTAGAAAAATTCCTGATTTGAATAAGAGGTTGGCGAGGTGAGTTATAATTAGACTAATTAATTCTGAACGCTATTTAAGAATGTTTGTAAGTGCATTACCTAACTTTCGTAGTTGCGCAGTTCCCTAACTTTCATTGTTCGGTATTATTGCGCAACAAAAGAGTGCTGGAAAGCAGATAAGTAAGATACGCGGCACTTTTTCTATTTTGGACCAAAAAAAATGTTTGCTATTTTTTTCTTGTATGCTTATAAACTTTTTTATCATTTAAGTGTTGGTATTTTATCTTTTTATCGGATTATCGTATCACCAACACCAAGCAATATTTGCATAGTTTAAATGACAATTTATAAAAGAAGAATATAAATGTATCAAACTTGATTTATTCAAAGCATTTCTAGCCTTGCCCATTACTCCTATAGTTTTAACAATTAGTGTGATTTAATTAGCTAAGGTTTATTACATATATAAATAAAAAGATAGAATTTGTTTCTTTTCTTACATTATGTCTAGAAAAAGTAAGGGCAAGACGTATATTGAGACTTAAGTATATTTAGACTTCTCAGAAAATCTAGCTATGCTGTGAATAATTTGGAGTATGACGTGTCTTCTAGTTAATTTTTTTGAACCCGTTTTGATTAATATATAGTATACTAGCTGGATTGACCCGTAAAAATACGGGTCTTGTACTGTAATTCTATTCCACACAAACCTTTTCCCTTATTTTCTTAATCTAGCTGTCCGTATCGGTAAATACAGGTCTTTTCTTCTACTTCTATATTTATTTATTCCACGCCAATCATTTCTTTACTTGTTCCTTATTTACTTCAATATTTTTTAGTAAACGGTGGAAAAAAATTCATCAAAAAAATTTGCTTTGAGAGCAAAAAAAAACTTTAACATACGCACTTTTTCCGCATACGTATATAGCTTATTAAACCCCGTTTATTTATTTTTTTTAAAAAAAATTCTGAACTAAACTACTTTCTACATTTAGACCAGCCATGGACGATGGTTTATGGTCGCGTCCTAGCCATATTCAATAGTTTCCTATATTTATTATTTTATATGCTTAGTTTTGAATAATAACGGTCTTTTATAGTTATCTTTGTATTAGACGGAAACGGTAATGCAATTCTTTAAAACGTTAGTCGCTTAAAGCGTCAAAAGTCATGCAAAAAAATAAATTATAAATTTTGTGGTTTAAAAGTTGAAGAATTAATAATATTATAACAAAAAGTTTGGTAATTTTTAAACGTTATTATTTAGCTCTTACTTATGGTATTTATTTTGTTTTCATTTTACATTTTTAAAAAAATGTTGAAGCGCCTAACTACATGCATAACTTTGATAGCTCACAAGTTAAGTGCGCTGTCATCAGATTCGCTGTGCAAGGCTTCAAATCCGCGCCTAAAAAATCTCAATACATTTTTTTTAATCTGGCTATATTTATAGCAAAAAATTAAATATAACAAAAAACCTTTTAATTGTTTTTTTTTTCCCTGCCTCGACTGCAATACCATGTGGAGTAGCAGGACGGTTTTATCAAATTTTTTCTTTATTAGGTTTTAGGACCTTTTTTTTTAAGACTATCCGTAGCTTATTAGGACCAATTATGTGAGAACAGTATCAAAATCGTGACACACACGCAACAAATTTTCGCCCCGTTTATTGGTGTTTTTAGAAATCCAAAAAATATATAAAATATAAAAAGAAAAAACGGTTAAAGTGTATAACATTTAACTTATTTAACTTCACAAATATTTTGTAATTTAAAGAAAAAAATCGCTGGTGGTAAATTTGAACCACGACTATTACGTTCAGAAGCTTAGCGCGCTAACCACTCGGCCATGCTGACACATCAAATATCGAAATTTTAAAAATATATAAAAATTGTTTTTAACGGAATTGCTGTAGATCAAAAGTTAAGGAGAGGTTGACGCAATGCAATTTTTAAGTCAAAGTCAAACTATAAAACTTGAAAAATGTTTCAGTATGTTTTATCATTACTTAATTACGTACGTTAGATATTTGCATACACGTTTTCTTCTAAAAAAAGTGCTGCGACTCTTTCTACTAACACTACTATTAAGTTCGGCAATATTATATAGAAGAAGATAGATAGATTATAAAATAGTTTTTCACTTAAAAAGACAAACTCTATTCCACATTAACCTTCTCTATTTCTCCCTCAAATATTATTTAGTGAACAATAGATTATGTGCTAGAAAAAAAAAATTCACATATGCACCTTTTCTGTATATTTATATTTAGAGCTTAACATGAAGAAGGTAAATCATTTAGTTCAAGACAACCTGCCCAAACCCAAATCCTCTGTTGATTTATGCACACTCACTGTGGCTAGGCCTGTAAAATAAGTAGCTAGGCAAGTCAAATAAATTAATTTGATCTGTTTTTCTGCATAAAACAAAAACAGAAAATGTGAAGTACTTGATAAAAGGAACTGTAATATTGGATTTAGTTAATTCAATACAAAGTGATAGGAAACTGCAAAATAAGGTAACAACGTGAAAATTATTCAAATACTAATTTACAACAATTTGTATTGCGTTTTATTAAAATAGCTTTATTAAATGGTATGAAGATTGATGATTCTTCTTCTTCGTCTTTAGAAAATGGTTAACGATTTGAAAGACTTTTAAATTGATTATAAAAGCATTATCTAAAAATGAAATAAAATCATTATTGATAACACTGAATGCACATTTATTTGTTTTATGTTAATTCATTTGAGAAATGAAAAATACGAAACAAAATTTAGTAAAAATTAGTTCGGCAATATTATATAGAAGATTAGACAATTACTTTGTGAGAGTGCTTTTTTAAAAGTCTCTAATATTTGGTTGGAAGGCTGGAATAACTCTTTTTTTAAAAAAATTCAGTTTTATCAGCATTGCTAAAGATAAAAATTCTTACTGACACAAAAAAATTAGGCATTTTTTCTTAAAATATTTCTTGGCTTTTAGTGAATGATTAGGAGTAAGTTTCAGTAATGAAGCTACCCAATAATCATTTTTAACGATAGACACCAACGTGAAGGTAAGCCAAGCTGTCTATCAACACAAAACATCACAACAACATTACAGGATGACAAACAATAACACCAGTAGTGTAGGCAGGATTTTTGTTGTTTCAGATATATATTTAGAAGCTGTTGAAGAGTTTAACTTTGTTATGTCTAAAAAAATTCAGGTTAGGAAAAACACTTTTTTTAAACATTTGTTCCTAAGCTTTAAAAACATCAATTTTTTGCAAAGTATTTTAATTCTATAAACGTGAATACACTTAAGTTTGGTTGAAAATGCTATCTGAAGCATCAAAAGACCCTGCCTATGCTACTGAATACACATAGCATCAAATATTTGTACATAACACATTTGCACATAACACAAAATATTCAGATTATGTGTTTCCAGAATAATTAAAAAAGCTAGACAACACAACCTAGCTCAACACTTGTAACACCGCTTGGCACTAAACGCTGCCAAGTAACACCACAATTTAGTAACACCGCTTGGCATTAAGTGCCAAGTAACACCACTAATTAGTAACACCGCTTGGCTAGCAAGAATCACAATCTTGCACTACACGTTGCCAAGTAACACCACTTTTCACATGGAAACAACTTAATATAAACTTGTATAAACTTAAGCACATAAATATAAATAAAGATATATAAACGCATATAAACACATTCATTTATATACACATATAGCAAAAAAAAAAAAAAAAAAACATACAAAAAATATAAAACACATATAACACATAATATACTTGTCAAAATTATAAATTAAGAACATTTGTAAAGACAACATTATTTGTGTAATGTTTGTTAAATGACGTACCTTGTAATGGATGTTTATCAACTTTGAAAAACAAACTATTAAATGATCTTGTTCTTGAACATGCAACATATAATTGGCCGTGTGAAAAGCAAGGTTTTTTGAGATAAACACCAACTTTTTCAAATGTTTGACCTTGACTTTTATTTATGGTCATTGAGTATGCTAACCTAACTGGAAACTGACGGCGTTTAAGTGTAAAAGATAAATTTGCATCTGATGGAGCTAATTGAACTCGAGGAACAAATACCCTGTTACCAGCTGATACACCTGTTAAAACCTCACCATCAATATAATTGTTGTGTAATGCACGCACCATCAAACAGCACCAATTTTTAATTTTAGGCAATGAACAGGCATACCTGATGGAGTCAAACTATTTAAAAACTCGACTGGAAAATTATTAATTTCATTAAGATCATCAGTATCAATGCTATCTGAACTTAAATATGTTTTCACATCACCGGGTAAGCGATGAAGGACTTCTTCATTTATTGCCAATGAATCAACATTTGTTGGCGTTAAAATAGCACGTTTTGCATAATCAGCTTCTTCTGCACCACCGAAAATCTTCTCCACAATAGATTCTTTATCACTGAGAAAGCACAGCTCAGGTATTTCAATACACCCTCGCAAAGGATCTTCAGGCTTGACAGGTAATGTTCCACTTCCAAGCTTTAAAAGCCATTGAGAAAATTCCTCTTCTTCTATCTGAACCCTCATGTTTACAGTTAATGAGAACCTTTGCACATATTGCCAATGTTCAGAACATTTTAAACATGATTCTATAACTTCTGCTGGTCGACCTCGCTTCACAACTGGAAGTATTTGTCTGAAGTCTCCACCCATAAGAATAACCTTACCACCAAAAGGAAAGTTGTTATTACAAATATCTTGTAATAGCTTATCAATGGCACTCAAAGCATATTTGGGTATCATAGATGCTTCATCAAGTAAATACAAACTGATTTGTCTCAGGAATCTACCATGAATAGAGTTTGGAGTTACATTACATGTGCTAGTTTCCAAAATTGGAACAGGAAGTTTGAATAAGCCATGCATTGTGCACCCATTTTTGAGAAGAGTTGCAGCTATTCCTGTCCATGCAGCTGTTGCAGTTCTAATATGCCTGCTCTGTGTTTCAGAAATTAAATAGTTGTAAGTAAATGTTTTACCACAACCGGCAGGCCCATCCATAAAAAACAACCTTGAATGCTTATTTTTATTAGTAGGTTCCACACTTAGTGCAGCAAGGATCGCATCAGCTACATTACGTTGATTATCATTCAATAATGGTTTGCTTCATCAATAACTCGGTTTGCTTCATCAATAAACACCTGAACATCTTCATCATCATTTTCTGGGACATTATCTAAAAACTGATCTAAAGCTGGCAAATTATAATCAGCTAAGGTTTTACCACTCTGATTAATTATAGATTCAATTTGACGAAGAGCTGCCTGCTCAGCAAGTACGACTGGCATTGAATGGTGTATGTAATCCTCAACCATATAATTTTTAAATGTATTGCAAAGGTGTAAAGGATCATCAGGTTCACATAAAGTTAATATGATGCAAAACAGTAGCCTAATTTGTTTAGGCATCCGAGTTGCAGCAGCTTCAATTAATGTATTTCTCCACTCAATGTCATCTTGCAATAAACCTAAATGATAACATGCTTCACGAAATGTATTAAAAACAGTACCATGAACAGTACGCAAATCCTCGAAAGACTTTGCACCTTTTACATGCAAAAGTAACAACCTGAGAAAAAATAATTCGCAAAATGAACTGACTTTATACATTCGAACAACCACCTTATCACTACCTCTTTGTCTTACTTTCCACATGCAATTTTTACCGAAAACAAAGTGATATGGAATTTCAACATAAGAATACTGACGTGCTTCATTATTTTCAGCATTTAACTTAAACCAAGCGGTTGGGTGAGTGTCACGCTGTGCTGCACGATCTATAGCTACTTGTTCTTCTCCTTCGTTAAAATATACTCTCTGATTATCAGGAAGGTGGATTTGAAGGCGGATAATAGTATGTGACATATCACTTATGGAATACTCATATATTCGCCAAAGAGCCTCTGGGGCGGAAACAAAGCGACAGTCTAAATATGTGTTAATTTCATCATGGTCAACACTTTCATTAATTACCACATTTGCACAATCATGCCCCTTATAGACATATTTGTATAAATACTTCACTGACTTAATAGACATGCAAGCTTCAACATTAATGTAGGCTTGGTATTTTTTTGATAACCAGGGGTTATAGGGTACGACCCATCGATTATCAACTTGGTTACCTTTTATAATGACTACTCTACCATTATCTAAACGCCTGTAGTTAGGATAACCATTGAAAATTGCAACAGTGCAAGGATTAAACTCTTTAGGAAATTTTTTTGTGCAAACTCCATCTTTCATGCAAGGAGAATTTGAATTTAAAATCCCACATGGTCCATGAATCATACATGTTTTTACAATTTCAAAAAGTTCAGGATCAACAGTTTGATCTGGAATTTCAGCTGATATTAAACTATCAATATCCTCTGCTGTTTCTAGCTTATCATCGTTTACAAAGTGTAATAAAATATGCACATGTGGCAAACCACGTTTTTGAAACTCAATAACCTGTACATGACTTACAACTTTGCCTAAGACTCCATGTTTAAAAATATCACCTAAGAAGCATTTAAGTTTCATCTTAAATACGCGACAAACTAAATCAGGCCTGTCAGTTGCGCTCTCACCTGGATTTAAACTTTCTGTAATTTCTCTCCATTTTGAATTACAGGTAAAAGTAATAAAAAGATCTGGTTTACCATATTTCTTTATAATTGCCATTGCATCTTCAAAATTTTCTTTTAAAGCTCTTGGACTTCCAACATATGAGGATGGTAGTATAACAACACGACCCGGTCTTACATTAAGGTTATTTGCAACATTATTTACATACTCATGTAATGTATCGTATTGTTCACTTCTAAGTTTGTTTTGGTTATTTCTGATAAAAGCAAGGCGCTGTCCTTCAATCTTGACATATGCATCAACAGCATACTGTTGAAAAAGTTTCTTACCATAAAATATAGGACTGAACGTTTGTCTAATAGAAAGCCTATAGTTGTAGTACTGAGATAAAGTAACACGATTTCGAACACGTGTTGCTCGGTCAGGATTGTGCTCTAGTTGATCATGCCATCCTGCATCACCTCTTGGAAAAAATATTGGATATATCATTGGATCTAGATTTGCAGACATACTTGAAATTGTTTTTAAGGGTTGACCTCGAGGATAAATAACAACTTCTCTAGATGGAGGTGGAGCACCATCATTTCCTACAAACACAATGGCAACCTCTTCATGTTATGGAAGATTGTATCGACGTCTATCACAACCCTCAAGCAACGACATTTTGACAACAGAAATCGGTCGACCTTCTATAGCAGCTTGACGAATTTCTGCATCTTCAACTTCTGCCATGTTTTTAAATGCAAGCGCATATGGATTCTCCTGATTAATTATAGTCTGCAAAAGTTCCATTAACTCACGTATGCAACAATCATTTTGCTCCATTCGAAAGTTTAAAGCAGTATTAGGATCATAAACATATAATTGACAATAAGCAGGTGGATCCCCTTGCTGATGTCTTAGATTACCAATACGATGCATAATTTGCCCACTAATTCTAAAACAGGGTGGACCACGATTTGACGGAGGATCTATTGTGGCTATGAATGAAGCAAAAGATAGACAGGCATTATAATTTCGTATATGCTTGAAAAAATTTTGATTTAAAGCACGATCAACATGGTTGCCTGTCATTAAATCAACCATCAGCGGTGGATAAGGTGAAAGTGGAGGTAAGACAACCTTTCCCGAATGGCAGCACAAAAAATGTGTTTCATTTAAAAATTTTTTAGCACCACAATACTGACAATTATGGTTCATTTCTCCTAGGTAATTACTCTCTATAAAAACATTATTTCTTGCTATGCAATGCATTTCACGCCTAAATAATACTCGTCGAGCCTCATTTCTTTCATTTTGGCGACGATTAACTTCTTCACGTCTAGCCTCATTCCTTTCATTTTGGCGACGATTAATTTCTTCTCGCCTAGCCTCATTTCTTTCATTTTGGCGACGATTAATTGCTTCTCGTCTGGCCTCATTTCTTTCATTTCGACGATTTCTTCTATTTTCAGCTCTTAGGTTACTTGACATAATTGAGAAATTATTTATGTTTGATAAACTTTATCTTAATAATTTTTTGCTATACTAATCTAAAATGAACAAAAACAATAAAGTGCTATTTATCAGTTTAAACCTATGAAACTATGTGTATAGCATCTAATAAAATTTGTGAACAAAAGATATAACTAAACTGGTTTGAAACAGAGAAAAAGCCAGAAGTATCTTGTAATAACATACTATATTGTAAGTAATAAAACAGTATTTTTTGAAACAAATAAAAAAATTTTATTATTTTAAAAGTCATATTAATGGTAATATTGAACAGCAAAATTAGTTACATATTTTTAAATGACATGCCAACAATTGCAAACATGTTGCATCATATAGACCACATGTGGCTGACAACTGATTTTAAATACTATTTTATAATATATCTAAAGAGAATAATGTAAAGAGATTAATATGTGTATAGTGCATATATTAGACATATTAAACAGATATCATAGAAAAAGAAAAACTTTAAATATATTTACCCAATCTTTCAAAAACTATATAACACTTAACAAATAAAAGTTAATACAAAAGAAAATTTAGTATTATTAAAATTAAAAATGAGGATAAAAAGATGTAAAAACGTAAATTAATAAAAAAACTTATAGACAAATTATTAAAAACTTTTATAACATAAGAGTTCTTTGTTAGTTTAGGATTTAAAAACAGAATTAAAAATCAAAAAAATAAAATAGTAAAAGTATATAAATTAAAATAATAAAAAATTGCGAAATTAAAAAAACATTTTTTTAAAAATTCAATTTTCTTTATAAATAAAAAAGAAGATAATTCTACCAGTAGTTTAAAAAAGCTACTGGTAGAAATTAAAAGAGTTAAACCGCTTTCCAGCACCCCTCCTTCTACCAGTGGTGTCATATGGGGCTTCTCTCCTCCATCTAAAGGAGGGATCATCTCCCCCATAATGACTCCACCGGTAAAAAGCTCTTGAAGATATTGGACCTGGGTGCTGGGAGCGATATTGCAGGAAATCTTGATATGATGCTAAAAAACAAAAACAAAAAAAGAAATAAATTTGAATACAATACTGCACAAAACAACCAATAAAAATATTATCTAAAACTATTTAGACTTCAAAAAAAAAAAAGTTATGACAAAAAAAATAAATAAATAAAGTAATGTAAATTTATAGATATGCAATGTTTAAATTTCATATATACCTACACAAATACACATAACACCCACAAAACTGCATAAGTATGCAAAACAGATTACCTGATGGTCCTGCAGATATTGTTGCTATTATGGAAATAAATAAAAAAGTATATGAACTAACACATATATTAAACAGTTATGTAATTGCATACAAACATGAAAAAAGTAATGTTTAGGTTTCAATACACATAACACTGCATAAATACGGAAAAACTGCATAAGTATGGAAAACACATTACCTGGTGGTACTGCAGTTGATACTGTTGCTATTGCAGAAATAAATAAAAAAGTATATAAACAAACACATATATTAAACAGTTATGTAATTGCATACAAACACGAAAAAAGTAATGTTTAAGTTCCAATACACATAACACTCATAAAACTGCATAAGCATGCAAAACACATTTAAAAAAATTTAAGTTTCAATACACATAAAACTCATAAAACTGCATAAGTATGCTAAACAGATTACCTGATATTATTGCTTGAGGTGTTAATGTATAGACAAAAAAATAAAGAAATAAAGTGATGTGCAAAATAAGATATGCAATCTTTAAGTTTTTCATTAAATTACATCATTACCTGATGGTACTGCAGATGATATTGATGCTACTGTGAAAAACTGCATAAGTATGCTAAACAGATTACCTGATATTATTGCTTGAGGTGCTAATGTAGAGACAAAAAAATAAATAAAGTAATCTGTAAATTAACATATGCTATCTTTAAGTTTTAATACACATAACACTCATAAAACTGCAT